AGGCCTATTTAAACTTCTGCATTGAATACGCATATTAGGTCCAGTGTTACCTTTGACTTACCTTAACACAGACCCTGAACCTTTAAAAAAATGTAACTACACGTCATGTTGAACCGAAGCTCAAGATCTGTTATTGGCCAGCTTGGTAACCATGACAAGTGTCAGTGCACTAATAAAAGATTGCTGCTGCTTGTTCAAACTACCTGTTTAAAATAAGCTGAAACATCACAATCTTTGTAGTTCCTTTGGCCAATTTTTTAGTTTTATGTTCAGTCCACTTAAACGTGTAAACCATTAAATGTAACCATCACTTCAGTTTGAAGATTTAGAAGGTTTTTCATGTAATAGTTTTGAGATTACCACCTTGCAGAAGCACCCATGCTGGGTGTTGGCAGCTTAATTAACTAAAATGTAGTTTGTTGCTTTGCTCAGTGAGCAACAACTGTCCTGAAATTAGTTCTGAGATCAGTCTCAATAAACTGTATATGTAACTTATGAAATATGCTTAATATTTTTTAGTTATTTTAGGATAACTTAAATAAAACAAAGAGACTATGAAGCTGCCTTGACACAATCTACATAATAAAAGCGCTATACCAATAAAGATGAATTGAATTGAATTTAAACATAAAAATGTATTCAACTTTTATTTAATAAAATCATGTTAAACCAACTCAATTGCATTTAATTGTATAAATAGCTTTTTATTTAGTGCTAAACTTTATTGGATGGAAAGCCTGACCTCATTTAAATCAACTTTAATTTTTTTTTTGAATCTCGGGCAGAGATCCATGGGAGCACAGTAAGTCCAGTAGCTTGAAGGTTTAACAAGTTAGATAGATACCTAGATACATACCTTTGTCTAGTTTATTTTACCATTAAAGTTGCTGAACGATCACTAATTGAACATTTATATAAATTTTGCTTAAATCTTTTTGCTGTAATAGTCCCTGCCCTCAGCAAATGTGGAAAGTGGTTGAAAGTAGAGAAGACACGAGATGTAAAAGGGAAGTTTTCAAACAGATTTTTAACAATTTTTTATCCAAATTCTGCATTTAAACAAAACTAAAACTTACTATTCCAATAAGCTGGTTTTTAATGCAACAATGGGTCCTCAAACTAATTTATGAAAAATTAAATAAAAATAACTTTGTTCTTTATTCTGAAGATTCATTTCTTGTGGATATATTGGATATCTTGTGCCTGTTTGCTTGTTTTGCTTTGAGCTTTGAAAGAATACATACAGTATGTGAACAATATTCTTCTAATGTGCCTTAAATGTAAGTGTTTAAGTTAACTTCCTCTTAATGGGGTATATGCACACAGACTTTTAATTTCAGTTAGTCATCCCCAGGGCTTCCATTTAATTGTCATCCCAGACAAAAATCGCTGTGTTTAAGATCTGATGTCTTTAAAAAACAGCGATCATCATTGCCTAGCTGAGATACAAAATAAAGTAGGTATCAGACCAAACAAGAAGCACTGCATTAAATTACATTTTTTCGCTCCATGTCTTTAAAATATGAAAATCAGTTTCACCCCAGTATTTTCAATGGAGTTTCTGCACTAGCCTGCTTCAAACAACGGTGCCTTTGTTTAAACAATTACCCGCAGTGGTGTAAAGAGTACTGAAAAATTATACTCAAAAGTACCATTACTTGCCTTAAAATTTAATGCAAGTAGAAGTATCTGTTGTAAATGGTACTCAAAGTATGAGTGTAAAGTAGACATTACAACATGTAATTACATTGCAATTACATTACAACATTGATGCTGTCAAAAGAATCTTATGAAAATAGTCATATAAAGCTTTCACCAGAAGTTCATCATTGCCTGAAAAACACTAGCTGTGCATATTGCCCATTAAACATCTCAACTTAAGTCCCTTCTTGAACTGATCTCCTGAACATGTTGGGAGTGTTTTTTTTTTGGGTTTTTTTCTAGGCGGTTTTCCACTCCTGTTGAACAGGTGCATGTAAACTACTCCACAGTGACAGCTGTTCAACACTGTAGCTTGAGTTCAGTCTGCTCTGGTTGATATGAACAATATTTATAGAGTGTTGGGATTATTTCCAGCAAGGCCAACTGCCAGTGAAACTGTCCTATCAATGCCTTTGATTGATAAAACTTTGCTTGGTTTATTTTTATTTGTTGTGTTTTGTATTGCTTTTGGTGCATGTGCAATCTTAAGTAGCATATACTTTAGAAACATGCCACTCATATGCTGACATGCTCCCTTTGGATGAATTCTTATATCTTCTTAGGTTTGTCGTCACGTGTTTCCCCTCCACTGGTTTTGTATGTCAGTAAACAGAATCTTAGCCAGTTCAGAGGCTTTGGGGTTGCTCTCCTGCCTGAAGTTACCCGCCCCTCATCCACCTTCAGGGGACATGAAATGACCTTGCTCTCTTATGGGCAGGGGTGGGCGGGTGTGTGTAGTTTATGCCTCCTGCTCTCTCCGATCTGAAGGTCTCTCTCCATACAGAATTTTGAGTTCACCTTAAGCATAATGTTGCAGCAAATGAGTTGTACGATCACAAGCCATGATTTATCAGGATCATGGTTCAGTGCATCTGTTTATTTTTAAGTTGATAAATTTGCTGATCAAATCCTGTTTTTATTTGTATTCCCATTGAAAACCACAATGTATTTTTTAGAAATAAACATGCAGACATTAAAACATTTCATTTCATTCTAGAATTCTCCAGATTCTCTGTGATCACTGTGAATTAATCTTTCTATTGATCAAGTCAGAACGCTCCAATTGGTTCTGGACAGAAAACAGCTTCACATAATGCTGATTCTGTATGTTAGTTATGCCGTCATATTATTCAAATATTTTAGTTAATCACACAGTGTTTTGCTTGGTGGCTATGATGACACAAACTTGGTGGCTGCAAGTTTCTGTCTTAATCTTTAATTTAATACTTAAAAAAATGTTCAAAACAGAATCTTGAGTCTTAATGAATGAATTAATGAATCCTTGGCTCCAATAAACAAATTCATCCAAAAACAAAATGTTGTAGTGCTGAGTTAACATGCAAATGTTCTTTTTCGACTTTTATTTTGATCTATTTTCATTGAGCAAACAAAAAACAACTGTTGTATAAAATTAAAATTAGATTTGAAAGCAACACTCACAATTTCATGATATAGCTTTTCTATCATGTCATGTTTCATAAATACAATTCAATAATTTATTAATAAAATGTATTTAGTTCAGTAATTGTTTAGTGATAATCGAATACTGTGGCAGCCATTATGCAAGCATTCACAGTATATTGTACATTTGTGTATGTGTGAACATTGGCATAGCAACAGTATTCATGGCAGTGTTGTGGAAGCGGTGTCATAGACATGCAACTAATTCTCAGTCTGTGCATTAGTAAGCATGTCAGGTGGATCTTTCTCCTGCCTACCGAGATCCACCACACTGTGCTCATTTGTGGAGTAGGCATCCTAATTGAGGTGTCTGTCTGAGCAATGATCTGAAAGCATCATGGCATACATGGGTGGGACAGATGCTGACATTGTAGTTATAATCAATGTGAAAAGGATCTTGTCTTAGTTTTACTGGCCATTTCATGCAAAGTTGGTATGGGATGGGTCACGCAAATGAGCTTGTGCTCTATATTACCCTCAAAATTATCCTCAAATTCTCCTATCTGTAACTTTGAGCATAAATAGTGCAAATAATGCCTTGTATCTAGGATGATTTATTGTCATCTGTGGAACTGATGTTGCAGCTCAAGTATTCACTAATGCTACTTTAGCGAAATGGATTTCACCATTATAACAACCAACACTAGAGATGCATCATACATGTATATAATGTGTACACACTCTCATATATAAATTCTAAATGCACATCAGCGCATGTGATGTCTTTTAAAGGCATTTAAAATTAGATCTGTGAGAATGTGTATCTTCAGTTAGTTAGCTAATCGTCACTTTCCTACAAAACAAGATGACATCAACTACTGGTTTGACATACAAAATACAGCATGTTTACAATGTTTTGAAAACATTGTGTGTCGTAACTTTTTTATTTTTTTAAATGCAAGGGAAACACTTCTCTATTTTTGACTGTATTGTTGTGCATAACTATATAGCCTCAGAGCACTGAATCAAACTTTTAGTCACTAAAAAAATGCATTTCTTGGCATAGTAAAGGGCTGGCAAATATTTCTCTCTCTCTTTTTTATTAATGTAGTACTTCATCTTTGTCAGGCTCTTGAGAGGTGTTGAAAGCTTGGGTGGTGGGTAATTGTTGGCTTTGAAAAAGGCCCACCCTCAAGAGTGTAAAGCTTATTTTTTTCATTCAGTTTAGCACCTCTGACTGTTCAGACAGCTCTACTGTAGCATAATGGCTTTCTTTTGCAGTCTGCTGTTAACCCAAGCCAATCAAACGGTCATGCACACCAACTGCAGGCCATTTTAAATGATCACCAGGAGAATTGTGCTCAAAGAGCCTCATTGCTTTGCCTCTTTTGCTTAAAATGAAGAATATTTTTGTCCTCTACTTGAATTTGTCGATTAGACTGCATTGCTACTGTACTGAATAAATAAATTGTAGCCTTTTTACCAACAGGTTCATTACACAAACCCAGCTATCTACGAAACTATGTTAACTATATTAAGTGCTATTAATTTGACCATTTTTTGAGAGGATGCATTTGACAGATTTGCAGAGTTTCCACACTGTTAGTGGAAATCCAACTAATTACCAGAATTAAACATTTTTTTAACTATTTTCTGTTGAGATAACATGCGGCAGCTAACTGACTAATTGTAAATGTGGTGGTAAATATTCTACTCCGATTCCCAGTGCATGTTAATGTGAAGAACAACCATCTTTAACTCACTGTGAGGCTGCTTCAGCGTGCCGGCTGTCACAAAAAATGTTGCACTTTTTCACACCGACTCGAAGTTTAATAATCTGTAAGAAGTCTGTCACTGCCAACACATCTCTCACTCTCTCTCGTTTTCTGTTTTTTTAGGAGGAACAGAACAGAGGGAAGCCAAACTGGGAGCACCTAAATGAAGATTTGCATGTACTGATCACAGTGGAGGACACACAGACACGTGCTGAGATCAAGATGAGAAGAGCTGTCGAAGAGGTCAAGAAACTACTGGTGCCTGCAGTAAGTTGCACATGTTTGTTCTTCCCAAATATACTTGCGGTTTGAAAGTGATGCTACAAATGTTTTGACCTTTGAGATCCTCTCCTCAGACCTGCTTGAGGCTTGTACTTTGATGTAAGGCAGCACTGTTGAATCTGGCAAAACATTCTATCCTGCTTCCTGTTCTAGGTGTGATGCCTTTGTGCATATGGGGCGGATTTTAATCCCACCCCTGACCCCTGGCTTCAGTCTTCTGCTAGATTTGATATTTTTATCTCTGGCTCCCAACAGAGAACAAATGGTGCTCTGCAACCTGATTCCCACAGATTTCCGCCCCATTCCACCTTTCTGTTCTCTGCTCCTCCATCGGTTGCTGCAGGGGGTGCGGACGCTTAAGTCAGGGTCTTGGGCTCCAGGCTGTTTTGCCTGCAGTGAACAGAATGGCCGGACAGCTGCAAGAGCCTGTTCCCTATCAGGCGACATAGTGGAAAGGCTTCGACCCACTGAAACCTGGCCAGAAGCAGCCGTTCCGGCCAGCCATGTGCCTCTCGCTTCATTTCAGAGCGGGACATGGAGTCCTTGGCAGTGCTCTGACTGCTCTCAGCCGCTCGCTTTCTCCAGTTTCTTTGTGTCGGTTTTTTTTTTTTTGCTCTCTCTCTAGTCCAGAAACCCCACATTTTCCTTTTTGTTTAGGGATTTTTCTCCTTTTGCGCCTGTATATCTTTTGTTCCATATGAGGATGAAGGCCCTAAACCTTCCACACACATGCAGCACATGAGCTCTCTCTTGGCACACACACACACTAGTCCAAAAAAACATACATGCATAGCCGAGTGTGTTTTGAGTCATTCTGTATAGTGTGTGTGTGTGTGTGTGTGTGTGTGTGGGAGGGAGATGAGTAAATGGATACATGCTCTCTCCAAATTTTTACTCTGACCCAATACTCCCCTAAGATCAAAGTCATCCTCACCATGTACATCCCTCCTTTGCTGGAAACACGCACACGCAAACTATGCTCAAACTCTCAGGAGGCCAGTATTTGTTTGGATTATGTGTTTCTTTCCGTCTTATAAAACACTCCCGCTCTTTTAAACATGTCTTTCCCATTTATCGTAAATTGTACTGTAAAAATTATTATTATTATTTATTTATTTATTTTTTGGACCTAATGAAAAAGTCAGTTTATATTTTGATATTATTTCTATTTTCTGCAATTCATGAAATTCTAAGCATATTGACAAATTTAAATGACATTCACAAGTTAAAAGTAATTGATGGAAGTTTCATATTTGCCTGATCTGTCTCTTCAAGATTTGCCATACGGATGAAGCTCCTCTTAAACTTGGCTTTCCTGCTGCTTCTGTGTGTGGCAGATTGACTCTAATGCCCTTTATCATGCCAAGCTAAACTGGATTAAATGACAAACCGTCCATCTCAGCCCATGCAGTCTTAATGAAGGATATCTTTGGCTCATTTAGAGGCATGAAATTGTCTTATTAAATACATTATGAAACAGACGGGGTCACAGTCTGTTTCCTCTCGGCTCTTCATTTTGTCATTGTGCAAAGGATTTTATTGGTTCGGGCAAAGAGAAAGGGGGGCAGTAGTGTCTCAGAGCTCTCGGAGAGAGGCGCTCTGTTTTATAAACATCTGCGATATTGATTTCTACCTACCTTGAGAGGCAGCTAGCACATTACCGCATGAATCTGTAATCCTGGCCCAGGCCCTGAAGAGTTGCCACAGCCGAACGGTTCCCGCTCGCAGAGACCAAATTGAAATTTTCAGCCTTGCTCAAGGAATCAGTTCCACACACAGCATTTGAATGATCGGCAGACTCTGTGCATATACGCTGGGTATGCACATGCACACGCACACACATAGCCTCACAGCCCAGGGTTAGAAGGGGGTGATTGAGAGATTCGGCTCAAAGGCCCTGTGAACTTTTCAACTCCCAGCGAGAAACGGAGAAAGGGAGAGACACGGAGAGAGAGATTTGAGTTGAAGGTGGGCTGGTAATGAAGGTAGCAGCGAGTGAGAGGATTAAGGCTGGAACATAATGGAAGGCAAAAGATAAGGATCGAGCAACACTTTTACATGCGGATCACTTCCCACAGTTCTTCCGCTCCAGTCTCACTCATCTTTTCACTTACGCATGACATCACGCAGCATTTCTGCTGTCCTGCAGATATCGACCAGCCTATGTCCCTCTTCCACTGTCTGTGTTTTGGTGTTCTTCTATTCAAAGGGATGCACAACAAATCAGCATCACTTCTAAAAAAGCCTTTACTTTTTTGTTTCTTTTTTGATTGCAATTCCAGTATTTCTGGTGCATTTCTGTAAATTATATGATTTGTTATATTTTTAAAAGACTGTGATTCCTACATCAGAAGTAGCTTAAAGCTAGGGCTGCAACTAATGATTATTTTGATAATTAAGTCAGGTGATTTTAGTTTTTTCTTTCTATCATTATTATTCATAGAATAAATGTAAATGTTTTTTTTTATTTGACATTTTTGCTTAAGTATGTTAACTCATTAATCAGTGTATTATTTATATATAAAAGTATGCTTTAAAAATGCAAAAGTCACACATGGAGTTTAAGAATCTTTATGTTTGACATTTTAAACTTTAAATAATAATAAAAAAAAAATTAAACAAAGTTTTTGAACAGTAGAACTTATTTAAATATCCAAAATATAAATAATTGAAAAGTAAAGCAAGTGTTGAACTCAGGACATAAACACACTAACAACAAGATGTTAAGCAGCAGAATTAGTTTGAAATTTTTTAAAAGTATAAAGAATAAATAAACAACAAATATTTCTTTTTGAAGCACAGGTAGAAATCTGAAGATCAGGTGAAATTTTACTGCTCAGTGGACAAATGTAATTCTATCAGCGTTCATTGATGACTATAATATTGATTAATTGTATTCTCCTACTTCTGCTGTCTGCTGATTTAAAATATGTGGTGTCTCACTACATTTCCATGATTTAATTCAAGCTTATCTAAAGTAGTTCTATTTAATTAATCATCACTATAGCTCCTGAGCTGATTGCGCAATGCGATGCTTGCAAGTCGCAACTGAACTGATCTAGGGCAAAAGTCCCGAAGTTAGCAAACCGTTTAAACAAAAGCACTTAAGCTATACCATTTTGACATGATGAAGTTGACTGTTGTAGGCTTCTTCCATGTCACAAAAGCTCAGTCTTGCATAGTTGTCCCGTTACTGTCTTAAGAGACATTTAACATAAAATTCTCCCCTGTCTTGGAAGGCTAGGGCTGCATGCTTTTTACTGCATTTGGTTCTGTACTCTCCATTGCAGCAGTGTATCATGTCAACATTCCTCAGTCATGTGAGCAGCCCAACAAATCCACAGTGGCATTTTATTATTAATATATATTGATTTTTAGCTATTAATTGTTGCAGTCCTAGAATTAAGTGTGATTGTGTCTGTCCCAACATGAGCGCCATGGTGGAAAGGGATGCTGGTCAAACATTTTCTCTCTCACTCTTCTGTCCTCTGTGTTACTCTTTTGCTAGAGGGACACTCTGTGTTTGTTCATAAAAGTGCTGAACCACATGGTGACGTATAAAACTATGGTCTATAAAACTCTCGAGAGCAACACAGATCTATATCCTTTGGAGTTTGACTTATAGCATATAATTCAGATTTAGGGCTTTGCATTTACATTTACGAAGACGTGACCTGCCTTCAAGTTCGGTTATCATTTTTGTTGCAGCTGCAACTTTATAAATGATCAGAAATTTCAGAAAGCATTGAGGGGACTGATGCATCTTTTTGAGATAACTGTTAATGTATTATTTTTTGAAAAATATAGAGCAGAACATTCTTAGTGAGCTTAGTGAAGCTAGTATCATACTTTCAATGGGGGAATCTAAATATTAGGATGGGGCTGATAAAAAATAAATAAATAAGCAAATCACTGATCTTATCTCTGAAATTGCATTTTTTTTTTAAATGCGCTGATTGTGTGGCCAGCTCAAGTTATACATCTACTTTCAATGCTTTTGTATCAAACAATCTTGGGCAACATCACCCTTTTTATGCAATTTGTATGCATAATGATTTGTCTTTGATTCTGTGCACTAGAATACTTGCTTTGCTAGTTTCTCAGATTCGAGGCCCAATTTTTGAAGGCAGTGAAAGCTGCTAGGATTATAGCAACCCCGCTTATGAGGCAGCTCTAATCTCCAGCAGATTCTATGACATGCTACAGCGCAGCAAATAAAGATGGGTTGTAGTCAGGGACACATCTACGTATCAGATCCTTGCTAATTTAATTTACTGGTTTATATGCCAACCCATTTGGAGATGATCAGAGAGAATAAAACAGTGCAATTCCTTCCTACAAAGTAATTAGCCTCTGAAATGTGTTAAAAACATGACAAATTGGTTTTCTCGTTAGTGGTGCTAAACCCAGGAGAGCTGACGCCCATGACGGGTGTTGTGGATTTAGACGTTTAGAAGATGCAGTGTGTCAAAATTGCCAAGAGATTCTTTTACTACAAGGTGACATTGCTCATTTACCCTCGAGGTGTGTGTTTGAGAGAGAGAATCCATCTAACAGACAGCAGAAAGTCACTTCTAGTGATTGACAATAGCTGTGTTGGTATGTGAGGTCAGTGTTAATCCTGCTGTCCCAGCATTCTCAGAGGCCCTATGAAAGGCCTTCTGGGAAAATGCTAGCCTGAGATATTCACTCTAAATACCCCCTCGCTTCAAATGGCGTGGTGTTTGCACAGAACCATACTTGAGCTTATCTGCTCCCTGTTGGTATCAGTGCACAAGGGAACGTGGTGAAATAGAAGCTCACACCTATGACATCTCATTAAGAATCTAGGCCACTATGTGTCCATTCCCTTTACCTCGGCTAATTAAAGTGGTGTGTCAAAACATTTTTTTCTGGGTTATTTTAATGTCAGCGCACTGGGTCGGCTGTCATCGAGAGTGAGCAAAGGTTTGAAATCATAATGTTGGATGAAGACCTTATTTAAA